AAAAGGGAAAGGCAAATGAGGGTTTGATGCGGAAAGGGGTTTTAGGGGGGTTGGAGGTCCGTGGGGTGATAGACCATCAGCATGTCCTGCGAGGGCAGGGGCACCGGCGCGTTGCAATGGAAATGGTGGTTTGAGAGTTCTTGAGGACATGGGAGGGTTGTAAGGGAGGGACAAGATTTGCTGACAACGGAGGGGGATGGGAGGGTATGTTGATGCTTGGCTTAGTGCAATATGAGGAGTGTGGGTGCGAAAAGGAGGCTTTAAGAGAGACGGGGATGGATGCGGCGTGTCTGGACAGGGATGACAGGGAACAGTTACAGGGGCCTATTGTGGAGGAAGAGGTGTGGACGGCTTTAATGAGTATGAGCAGGGGGAAGGGACCGGGGATAGATGGGCTGCCTGCGGAGTTTTACATACAGCATTGGGGAGTATTAAAAGGGAATTTTTGGTGTGCAATTATTTAATATAAATAAAGGAGGGGTGGTTTGGGACCTTTTGCAGGCGACAGCACTAGTAGTTTTGGTGCCAAAGGGTGAAAGTCAGTGCACAGTGAGAGATTACCGGATATCACTCATGTGTGCAGACTACAAACTTTTTGCAAAAATTTTGGGAAATCGTATAAAAAAGGTAATTGGAAAGGTAATAGTGAGGGGTCAAAGGGGATTCTGGGGAGATAAATGTATGAGGGGCATGGGGTTATTAGAAGGTTTGAGGGTCTGCAAGAGGGGAAACGAGGGTATTGGCGTGGATTGGAGAACGGATATGACAGTGTCGAGAGGGAGGCTCTGTGGAAGAACATGGAAAGCGGCAGGGGTTGGGGGAGGACATTGTGAATTGGGCACGTACTTTATATCAGGGAGCTGGGAGTGGGGTTCAGATTAATGGGAGGGTGGGGTTGCATGTGAAAATGGGCAGGGGATTGGGCAGGGTTGCCCGTTGTCACAAATATTATTTGCATGTTTACAGAATCCGTTTTATAGGGCAGTGGAAAGGTGCATACAGGAGGGGGTAAGGGAGGACATACAAGGTGGGAGTCCTGGTATCATAGGTTATGTTGATGACACAACTGTCCTAGTGAGTGGGAGGGAGGGATTGGAGGGGTTTCCCCCCCGGAGAGAATCATAGATGTTTTTGGGATGGCAAAAAGGGATGGCAGTGAATGTGCATAAATCAAAGCTCATGAGATTGGGTGAATGGGATGGGTGGGTGAGGTGTGAGGTGTGAGGTGTGAGGTGTGAGGTGTGAGGTGAGGTGGAGTGTCGTGGACCGGGTGAAAATTTGTGGAGTTGTGTATATTTGGGTAATGCTCAGATGGCAAGGGAGAATAATTCAAAGGGTGTGGTAATAGGGTATTTGGGGGGATTGTCAGGATTGAGGCCGACACATCTTACGCTACACCAGAGGGTCATGGTGGTCAATGTGCTTTTGTACAGCAAAATATGCATGTGGGAGCTTTGTACCCTTTGGTGTATGGGATGATGTCCGGAGATTGTTGAGCAGAGTTTTCTGTTTATCTGGGGTTCGGGATGCGATTGGTTGAAAAGGGAGGTGGTTAACACTTCGGGTGGCCTTGGGGGGGCTGGGGTTAATTCATTGGAAAGAAGGTGAAGTGTGTATATGTGAAACATGGGTTGCTAAGGGCTTGGGGGGAAGGGAGTGGAGGGTTAGGGATGCTGCAGGGAGATTTCGGAGATGGTGGAAGGGACAAAATTTGAGAGATGGTGAGGAGTTGTTGCGTCTATTGATGGTCAGAGAGCCGAGAAACATGCGGGTAGGGTCCATGGAGAGGAAGATATGGCCTAGGGTGGTAGTGGCAACGGAAGGTTGTGTACCCGATGTACGCATGGGAAGACATTTGGGGTCGATTAAAAGGGTTACGGCCACGCGTGAGGGAGGTAATGTATAGGTTTCTTCACGGAATATTGCCGTCTGGGGTTGTTTTACGAAATAGGCGAATAAGGGAGGGTGGGGAGTGTCAGGTTTGTGGGGTAGATGAATCAGCTTTTCATGTAGTTTATTTTTGTGAAAGCCTAGGGATTGTGCGGGAATGGTTAGGGAAAGTAATCCGGTATGTGGGGGGGGAGAAAGGGTTGTCGGTTTTGAGAGCGCTCAGTTTAGATGTAGGTGGGGTTGGGGTAAAGGTTCAAAGGGCAGTGGCTTACTTAGTGGTTGATTGTGTATATATCATGGGCAATGAGAGACAAAGGGGCGGAGGAACGTAGGATGGCCATAGCAGCATCCTTTTATAGAACAGTGTCGTAACAGGGAAATATATGGTAGGAGGTGGGAGAGGGATTTCTCGGAGGACTACAGGGACTTTCTTTTGAGGGATTTATGGTCTTTATAAGCGGTCAGGGGCATGAACGGGCTGGCCTGCCCAGGGGGGGGGGGTTGCAGAGGTCGATTGTGTGAGTGTGTGGAATTGTGTGAGGAAAGGATGTTGAGGTGTTATTCAATTTGTAATGTCTTGGTGTTATTGTGAACACCGTGATTATAATGTATCTAAGGATTCCTTCATGTTTTGTAAGGATGTACATAGCAATGTTAGTATATAAGCATTTTTTTATCTGTAATTATAACAGTCTACATTTATGAGCAATGTAACTTGTCTAATAATGGAGGGCATTCACAACTGTTTTTTAACTAGTGGAACGTTTTGTATTGTATTATAATGTAATCGATCTGGCCTGGGGTGTTTTTGCTTATTTATGTTAGAGGTTTTTTCCTTTTTCTTATATATGTTCAAGTGAAATAAGTTTTTGATCTTGTGTATAGCCAGGTGAAGAATGGACAGTTTTAACTTGGGGGCGGGGGGTAGGTTAGGGTTGGAGTTTTAGTAATCTCTGCATAGCAGGTCATGTGACAACACATGTCATATATTTAAGATGGCTAATGTGTCCATTCTCGTAGGATGTGATGTATATATTTTCTACGTCAGTGTAATAATCTTGTCTGCAGGAGGTAATGTGTAAATTTATTTATTCATTGTGGTAGGTTTGTGAATAGCGTGTTTTAGAGGTGGTTATATTATAGTCGCTAATAACCATCAAGGACTGTTGGATGGTTTATGAGTGGCTGACGGCGACAGTTATTAGCTTGGGGAGTGGGGGGGGGGTTGATATGTCGCGGTAGTGGATTAAATCCAACCACGTGCACGATATTAATTATACCATGGGTATATGAGGGTTTAGGGTGGATTGGTGTTCATGTTTGATGTCAGCCATCAGGTTCAGACATTACTTGTATTTAGGTCAGGTTTAGATGGCTGGATTGTGTTTTTTATTGTTCATTGAAGGTTTTAAAGCTTTTCAAATGTATAAAGTATAAGAAGATTTGTCAGCTAAAAAACAAAAAAAAAAAAAAAAAAAAAAAACTTAACATTACCACGTGACTAATACCAGTGACTGTCTTAATTTACTGATAATAGCACCCCAAATTACATTGATGGCTGTTGGATACTGCTTAAAGGAGCATAAGTAATAGAATTTCTGTTACACTTAAAAATGTCGGGAGAGTGTCATTATAGTATTAGAGGAGACTTTAAATTATATTAGTGTGACTAAAGTATGTCAAATAATATAAGAGCATATAGTCTTTTAGTTTGCCGTCTATGTTATGAATTTTAAACTAGCTTTTTGTGATTTGACTACCATGATTTTTATGAAAAAATGGGGAAATGTATAAATTTACCTAGTTGTATTACCTTGTGCTATATTCCATATTAGCAACAGAAGGTTTGCTCTACAGAGCACCCAGGCTACTGCCCAGCCACTCGTTCAACTTGTCCAACTATAGACAAAAAACTCCCTGAGACTTTACCTCGCAGGGACTACAATGGCGTCACCTTCCCTGATCTACCTCGCGTGAGTTTACTCACCCTATAAAAAATATGTAAATCTAGCGTCTTAAGGAAGATGCACATGTGATGGATAATTCCTAAAAAAAATAAACTTGCCTTAGGTCTGTCTAGTAACCTAGAAATTACATTCTCCTGGCCAAGAAACTTACTAGAACTTTTAAAAAATTTAAATAGTTTTCATAAATATTCCGATGAACATGTATGTTAATTTGAGATTCTTGGAAGTGATACATAGTACTTCACTAATTTTTTTTCCCTTAGGATGCCACTAGTGAATTATTTTCAACTCTTAAACAGATTAAAATGTACTAATGTTCCAGCACACTATCAAAAGCAGTCATATGAAAGGTAATTCGTACAGTCTCTACCAGTTCTGTGCGACAGACGGATCCTGTGAACATTATGAGAAGTGTTGCTTCGACCGCTGTTTTCGCAAGCATGTTTGTAAATTTGCCTTCAGTGAAGATACAAAACTCAAGGTTGGTTTCTATTTTTACTTTAATTCCTTCGTGCATTCTAACTTGGTATTAAAATGAAAAACTTTATATAGTCACTCGTGGTAGTCACTCGGGCAACCGTGAACCTGTATATATAAGCTTTTAGCTTTGCATTTCAGTTAGCATTTTATTAAATAAGTCTGCAAGACCGGATAAACTGAACATATACTGTGTATAATTTATTTTTGCCATGGCTAATAGCTTGCCTTGTTAACAGTATTCAGACAAGGCAGAGCTGCAGGCTGACGTGGTTCAGCACACCATCGCCTAGACGAGGTTCTCCAGTGATTTGGCAGTTATCATTAGTACCTTCTTGATTTATGAACTTTAAGCAGTGTTCTTGTAACTGGATAGTATAGGCCAAACTAAGCAAAATATCTTGTTAAAATTAGTACTTAATATTTTAATAATTTTAGCACTAGTTTCAACTATAGCCCCATTTAACATTATTTTAAGGGCTACCACAGCCAATGCTTTATCGAACCTTATTTCTTCTGTCCTGGCAAGATATTTTGCCGAAATTTGATTGAATATATTAAGGATAATTTGATGGGTCCAACCCGTCAACAGATGGAAAGACTAAAATATGACATCCAGAGGAACCAAGTTTGTAGCCTCTCTTGTTTAATTTATCCGAATTAGTTTAAAATATTTAAAATACTGATACTCTTAAATTTGGTTGGCATTAATTCCCCATTCTGTACCAAATCTGGTAAACACATCGGGTAAACATATGAAAACAAAAGTGATTTAGAAAACACTCGAGGAATAATGGTTACATGCACTAATATATACCTTCAATAAACCAAATTGTCTTGTTACTGGTTAATCTTTCTGGTGCCTTACATTTTACTGGAGAATATAAATATTCATTTGTATCCAGGTAGATAGTTGAAAGAGGTGTAGGTATTTTAAGTTGTACCCGTGCACCTTTCAATACTGGTTCCAGGAACAGTTTACGCCTATTTTCTGCATTAGTATTTCACTCCTGGTCTAAAATTAAAATGTTCTGAAGTAAACCAATTTTGATATGAAAGATTTACTTCAGTCCCACTAATGGTGTAATGTAAAGATTCCTGTAAATGATTACTCCGGTAATTAGACAAGCATAAATGAATTTGGACAGTCCTACACTATTTATTACTGTGTTTAGTTCCTCACTCTTGGTAAACACCTAATTAAACCTAAATACTTCCTTGGAGGTGAAAGGTATAAAACACCGACACATGGGAAGACTTGCAGTATGCGATTGCAATAAACTGCATTTTCCGCCATTTACCTACCACCTTCCCTAAAAATTTATTAATTTGACTTTTTCCCTCCCGTGACCTTAACTACAGTAGATATAATTTGTGAAGAGCGGTTAAGACTTGCAAGTTTTGCTTACATTGTGCGGATTTCTATGACTTAAGACAGAGTTTATACAGGTAGCAGTAAGGAACCTGGGTTAAATTCTAAGGACCTCCCTCGACGCAGGTTTGATGGTGGCGAGGTGGCTCTTGATCTAGGGTATTGGATCTGTGCCTCAGTTCCCTGAATAGTCTGAATGCCTTCCACTCCCCCCACCCCTACAGGGGCTGTGTAACCTACGATTTTAGCGCTCTCCATGATAATCAGGCGAGGAGACTCTTATTACAGCACCTACCTTTGTTGGGTACCTATTTGCTGCTAGGTAGTTTTTTTTTTATATTTAGACTTTTGTGTATGTAAAACACACACACACACACACACACACACACTCACACACACACACACACACACACCACACACACACACACACACGTATATATAATATTATAGGGAGATATCAACTCTAGAACTGTCCTGGAGACCCTCATCCTCAGAGAAAAGAATAAACTTGCTTCAGGGAAAACTCAAGGTTTTCCCTGAAGCTGTTTAAGAATTTTCTCCTACCACCTCCTATAGTTAATATATTTTATTTAAAGACAAAATACATTGACAAAACATTCACAAAGATACAATAGAAAGTAAAACAACATAGGTAACTCAGAGCTACATCTCGAATACTTCGTCCAGCTCCCCGGCGGTGGGCCACGTACCCAGAATGCTGCAGGCATTTCCTCTCTGGATCGCAACACTGAGTCTCTGAAAGAGGAAGCTGGTTACCCTGTGGTCCTTTATATATACATTATAACATAAATTTACAAAACGCTTTTTGGGCGCACGGATGTTATAGGCCTGTACATTGCAGAGTCACTTGTTTGCACAGAACTGCTTAATGCCTCAAATGATGTAGTGGAAGTTTTAGCAGTAAAGGTCGAGAACCAAAACCTAGTCATTGTGGTAGTCTACAAGCCTCCGGATGCAACATCCCAGCAATTCCAGGAACAGCTGTTAAAAATTGACCACTGTCTGGAAAATCTTCCAGCTCCTGCACCCAACATCTTGCTCCTGGGGGATTTCAACTTAAGGCACCTAAAATGGTGCAATATAGCAAATAATATTGTTGCAGTAATAACACCAGGAGGCAGCTCTGATGAAAACTCTCACTCGCACGAGCTTTTAAATCTCTGCACAAAATTCAATTTAAACCAGCAAATAATAGAGCCTACTAGACTGGAGAATACACTAGACCTCATCTTCACTAACAATGATGATCTGATAAATGTCACCATATCAAAAACAATATACTCAGATCACAACATAATTGAGGTTCAGACATGTATGCGTAGAGTCCCAAACCGACATAATGAGACTAGTCACGAGGGAGCATTCACCAAATTCAACTTTAATAACAAAAACATAAAGTGGAACCAAGTAAACCAAGTCCTAACCGATATAAGCTGGGAAGATATACTAAGCAACACAGACCCCAACTTATGCCTAGAACAGATTAACTCGGTGGCACTCTATGTATGCACAAGGCTTATTCCTCTAAGAAAAAGGAGGAGTAGATGTAAAATAGAAAGAGACAGGCGTTCCCTTTACAGGCGACGGAAAATAACAGAGCGGCTAAAAGAGGTCAATATATCTGAAATGCGTAGGGAGACACTGGTCAGAGAAATAGCAAGCATCGAACTTAAGCTAAAAGAATCCTTTAGGAGTCGGGAATCGCGGGAAGAACTAAAAGCCATAAATGAAATCGAAAGAAACCCAAAGTATTTCTTCTATGCCAAATCAAAATCGAGAACAACGTCCAGTATTGGGCCCCTACTTAAACAAGATGGGTCCTACACAGATGACAGAAAGGGGAAGAAGTGAGCTACTAAAAGTCCCAATATGACTCAGTTTTTAGCAAGCCGCTAACCAGACTGAGAGTCGAAGATCAAATGAATTTTTTTATGAGAGCCACCAAAATTTGATTAACACAAGCCTATCCGATGTTATCCTGACGCCAAATGACTTCGAACAGGCGATAAATGACATGCCCATGCACTCTGCCCCAGGGCCGACTCATGGAACTCCGTGTTCATCAAGAACTCCCAAGAAGCCCCTATCAACGAGCCTTTTCCACCCCTTTATGGAGAGGGAGCATGGAAGGGGGGGTCGTCCCTCAGTTACAAAAAAACAACAGATATAGCCCCATCCACAAAGGGGGCAATAAAGCAACAGCAAAAAAACTACAGCCCAATAGCACTAACATCCCATATCATAAAAATCTTTGAAAGGGTCCTAAGAAGCAAGATCACCCCCCATCTAGAAACCCATCAGTTACACAACCCAGGGCAACATGGGTTTAGAAACAGGTCGCTCCTGTCTGTCTCAACAAATTGGTTCACTACGACAAGGTCCCTAAATGCACTAAAGACAAAAAGAATGCAGATGTAATATATACCGACTTTGCAAAAGCCTTCGACAATGACCATGGCGTAATAGGCGCACAAAATGCGTGCTAAAGGAAAAAACAGGAAAAGTCGGTCGATGGATCTATAATTTCCTCACTAACAGAACACAGAGTAGTCAACAGAGTAAAGTCCGAGGCAGCTACGGTGAAAAGCTCTGTTCCACAAGGCACAGTACTCGCTCCCATCTTGTTCCTCATCCTCATATCCGACATAGACAAGGATGTCAGCCACAGCACCGTTTTCTTCCTTTGCAGATGACACCCGAATCTGCATTGACAGTGTCTTCCATTGCAGACACTGCAAGGCTCCAGGCGGACATCAACCAAATCTTTCAGTGGGCTGCAGAAAACAATATGAAGTTCAACGATGAGAAATTTCAATTACTCAGATATGGTAAACATGAGGAAATTAAATCTTCATCAGAGTACAAAACAAAATTCTGGCCACAAAATAGAGCGAAACACCAGCGTCAAAGACCTGGGAGTGATTATGTCGGAGGATCTCACCTTCAAGGACCATAACATTGTATCAATCGCATCTGCTAGAAAAATGACAGGATGGATAATGAGAACCTTCAAAACTAGGGAGGCCAAGCCCATGATGACACTTTCAGGTCTCTTGTCCTATCTAGGCTGGAATATTGCTGCACTCTAACAGCACCTTTCAAGGCAGGTGAAATTGCCGACCTAGAAAATGTACAGAGAACTTTCACGGCGCGCATAACGGAGATAAAACACCTCAATTACTGGGAGCGCTTGAGGTTTCTAAACCTGTATTCCCTGGAACGCAGGAGGGAGAGATACATGATTATATACTCCTGGAAAATCCATAGAGGGACTAGTACCGAACTTGCACACGAAAATCACTCACTACAAAAGCAAAAGACTTGGCAGACGATGCACCATCCCCCCAATGAAAGCAGGGGTGTCACTAGCACGTTAAGAGACCATACAATAAGTGTCAGGGGCCCGAGACTGTTCAACTGCCTCCAGCACACACAAGGGGGATTACCAACAGACCCCTGGCAGTCTTCAAGCTGGCACTGGACAAGCACCTAAAGTCAGTTCCTGATCAGCCGGGCTGTGGCTCGTACGTTGGTTTGCGTGCAGCCAGCAGCAACAGCCTGGTTGATCAGGCGCTGGTCCACCAGGAGGCCTGGTCACAGACCGGGCCGCGGGGGCGTTGACCCCCGAAACTCTCTCCAGGTAAACTCCAGGCACAAAGTGAGTTATGCAGTTAACATAGGATTACTTAATACTGTAGTCTGTAGCTTATTTCCTGTGAGCTGCATTCTAGTGACGTTGGAAGTCCCTTCCCGACGGAAATTAGCCGTACTGCGTAGCTTGGGTTAACTCAGTATCGTTGTATGACTTGTCTGGCACTTAGTTATAATTAACTCTATAGTATATTATTGAAAAGTTTCGCCTATCTACATTCAGTCGAATGCAAAGTCAGCAGTAGAGAAGTAAAGATTACCATGGTCTGAACTCTTCTCCAGGCTGAAGGAATGACTACCTCAAAACTTTTCCGAAGTTGGACTGATTACATCTTTTCGCAGCTACTTCTGCTGGCTCTATTTGACTGAAGAAGCCACCTGTAAAGGCAAAACGTTTCAACAATAAACATACCCTAATGTTGCACACGTCTTGCTCATCATGTCTGTATTTTATACCATTTTCAACTTACCATGCAGAAAATATCCGTAGTTTAAATTTAGTTTAGTTTGTCATAATACTTGCACAATTTTCTCTAAGATTTTAACAGTAACTAATGCAAAACGGCATGTAAAATTTACGTAGATATAAAAAATAAACCTTTTATTTAACATACAAAAATTAAAATTGTGCGGCTTCCTAGTTAAATTATACTTAACAAAATTGTAAATAGTATAAACAAAATATGCCACAATCTGAGCATCCTCCGGTTTACTATGGTGACCCATAAGGGTCTCCATGTTATTCCTTGCCATGGAGCTGTATATCCCGGGTTTAGATAATACTCCTTGCCATAAATATCATTCCAGCTGAACTTAGGTGAGAATTACCATCTTGCAGGATGACTTTTATCACATGCAGGGCCACTAGCATCCTTGATTCAAAATTCAAATGTTTATTTCTCTGTATAGATTACAATATGCGGTTTATATATAATTATAAAATAAAGTACTTATTACAAAGGCCACTATACCGGCGAATAAAAAAAAAAAAAATGCCTAGGCATTTCAGGCAAG